GTGCGGTGCGTGCGTGCGTGCGTGCGTGCGTGCGTGCGTCGAGTGCGTGCGTGCGTTGCGTGCGTTGAGTGCGTGCGTGCGTTGAAGTGCGATGCAGTGCGTGGGGTGTGTGTGTTCGTTGTGTGTGTAGTGTGTGTGTGTGTGTGGTGTGTTGGTGTTGTTGTGTGTGCGTGTTTGTGGGTTGTGTGATTGTGTGTGTGTGGTGTGTGTGTGTGTGTGTGTGTGTGTGTGTGTAGTGTGTGTGTGTGTGTGTGTGTTTTGGTGTGGTGTGTGTGTGTGTGTGTGTGTGTGTGTGTGTGTGTGTGTGTGTGTGTGGGTGTGTGTTGGGTGTGGTGTGTGTGTGTGTGTGGTGTGTGTGAGTGTGTGTGTGTGTGTGTGTGTGTGTGTGTGTGTGTGTGTGTGTGTGTGTGTGTGTGTGTGTGTGTGTGTGTGTGTGTGTGTGTGTGTGTGTGTGTGTGTGTGTGTGTGTGTGTGTGTGTGTGTGTGTGTGTGTGTGTGTGTGTGTGTGTGTGTGTGTGTGTGTGTGTGTGTGTGTGTGTGTGTGTGTGTGTGTGTGTGTGTGTGTGTGTGTGTGTTTTATGTGTTGCAGAATTTTGTTGTTTTGTTTTTTTGATTTTTCGGGGGCCGCGGGTGGAAGAACTCATGCTATATCGGCGGGTTCCCAAACCCCCAGAGATCCAACGCCCTTTTCTGCAGCCATTGCTGCCGCCCCACTGATCGCCCCCCCCCCTGGGAAGCCCAGGCTCTGGCGAGAGCGAGGAAGGATAGCACACGTCGGGCTCGTGCCCTGGGCTTCTTGGGTTTCGATGGTTTCCCAAAGATCCAACGCATTGAACAGATCATGGCGGAGGTTTTTCCCGCAGTTTTCGGTCTCTATAGGGGCCCTTACCGGGCCTCGGGACCGTCACAAAACGACTCGGGATGAAAATCCGGTGCTGGGGAAGGGGTCGAGACTTCCGGGGACCCCGCATTGAAAAAATCACGACGTCGGATCTCTGGGTTTGCCACGGAAAGCGTGCCGTTCCCACGCCTGAAAGCCATGGACGTCCTGGGGTCTCAGGGTTGGGCTTCTTGTGGGAGGTTTCTTGTCGGCGAGCCCCTACCCCAGAGATCCGACGTCGAGAAAATCACGACGTCGGATCTCGGTTCCTTGCGTCCAGGATCCACTTCTGACGGCCCCGGCCGGAGTCGAGGCAGAGCGCCGGGATTGCAGAAACACGGTCGCCGGAGATCCTGGGCGACAAATTGGAGGCCTGGGAATTGGCACCAACACCAACATAGGGGGTTGCCTCCACAGGGGGGAGAGGATCCTCGATTTCCGTGTTGGTGGTTATATTTCGGTCACCTTGGAAGCCGAAATATTACCACCATCACCGAGATCGGGATCCTCTTCCCTCGGTGGAGGCACACCGCCGAAATTGGTGCTGGTGTCAACCTCTAGGCCTGCGAACACCCCCCCTCCTGGGAAGCCCGGGCCCTGGCGAGAGCGAGGAAGGATAGCACGCGTCGGGCTCGTACCCTGGCGCCTTGCGCGTTGGCTCGGGTCGGGCGTGTCCTCCTACAGGCGGATTTTGGACGAAAAATCAAAAATTGAACTGGAAAAATATTCAAAAATATTCAAAAAATTAACAGTCGAAACATGGCCCCCAGATTATTATTTAAACTATGTTTGAACATTCCTCCTGTAGAGGGACAGGCCCGATTTAAGCGCTGGCTTCTCTGGCACCGCGTGGATCGCTCTCCACAGTTGAACGGCTGCGGCTTTCCGACCAAACAGGGCCGTTTGGGTGTCGCTTCATGGGGGGGCGACAACTGGGGAGGGAAGAAAGGCGCACTTTCTGGGCCCGTCAAGGCCCCCTTTGAAGCTCTAGAGGGGTCCCCTTCAGGGGCCCCGAGTAGCCCCATTTCTGCAGCCCTCGCTGCCGCCCCACTGATCGCCCCCCCTCCATTACGCGACGCCCAGGCCGTTTGCTGTCTGCCGCCTCTGGCAGACTCTCAACCCTGCATGAACGACTGCGCTGTGCTCGCCGCCGTGTCGACACGGCACGAGCATACCGCAGCCCTTGACATCTGCCGATGTGATTGTGCAAATCCTCAGCCCCAGGTCCTGGTCGCATCATCGGGGTCTCCTTTCATCCTGGATCCGTCCCAGGGATCCAACGCATTGAAAAAATCAAGACGGAGGTTTTTCACATCTTTCGGCCTCGAGGGGCCCTCGCCGGGCCCCGGGACCGTCAAAAAACGACTCAGGATGAGAAACCAGTCCCGGGGAAGGGGTCGAGACTTCTAGGGACCCCGCATCGACAAAAATCACGACGTCGGATCTCTGGGATGCTTGATGGCACCGGGCCCGGAAACGGCCCCCGCAGAAATCCAGAGCAGAAAGATCGGGATCCCAGACACTCTGGGGATCCCGACCCCTCTGCCTCTAGGGCTGGCTTCTCGTCCCGGGCCTCTTCGTGTCGGACTCCGGGGCCTCCAGGGGCCGAAGACGGCGCAAAACCTCCGTCGTGAGGTGTTGCAATGCGTTGGGTCTCTGGGATCAGGTCGGGCATGTCCCCCTGCAGGCGAATTGTGGGCGAAACATCAAGAGTACTCCAAACATGCCCCAAGCAATAATCAAACATCGTCTAAAAATCGTCCCCGGACTATTTTTTGACAACTTTTGAAGATTCCCCCGGTAGAGTTTTGGATGCCATGACACTGGACACTCGAACAGTCCGATCATTGAAATCAAAAGATGTGTTTAGAATGTGTGAAGCGTGCTCTATAATAATGTTTCAAGCATGCTTCTTCTTTACAGATTGAAAGCATTGCTGAAACACCTTGTAAACCTCTGGCATTATCTGGCAGCACGCTTCCTCTCCATGAATCGACATAGTTACAGCATGCATGTTTCTTACAAGCATGCTGAAAGCATGTTTCTTTCCTTCTCTTACCAAGCATGTTTCTTCCTTACATATTGAAAGCATTGCTGAAACACCTTTTAGACCTCTGGCAATTCTTTGGCTGCACGCTTCCTCTCCATTATAATCGACTCCCACACCTGCAGAGGCAGGCCCGACTCCACGGCGGAGCCAGATCGTCGGGGGCGGCCTGGGGACGGCGCGAGCGCCCAGCGCAGCGGCCTCGGCAGCGGCTCTCTCCCCCCGCCCGCCCCGGGGGAGCCCCGCGCCTTGGAGAGCTGCGCGCGGGCCTCGCCCAGGTCCTTCCCGATCCTCTGGACGTCGCTGTGGTCCTCGGGGGGCCACAACGCCAGGTCAGGAGGCAACTGCTGGGAGGCTCCCGTCGGGAAGATTAAGAAGGAGGATGAAGCCCCATGGGGGAGCTGCTGCGCCGGAGTGGGCCTCGGATGAAGCGGGATTGAGCCGGACTAAGCGGGACTAAGCAGGATTGAGCGGGAGCAAGCCGGAGTAAGCCGGATTTGGCTGGCTTTCGGACCAGGGCAAAGTCAGAATTTCACCTCCCAGGAGTTGCATCCGAAGCTATGGGGGGGTAGGGATAGAGGGGGAACAAAAACATCGACCTGTAGATCGGCGACAGGCCTCCGCCAGCGGATCCCGCACGTTCCCGGGCAGGCGGGGGCCATCGGGCCCCAGATCGGCGATCAAGGGGCGATGGGTGGTCGAGGCATCCCCCCCGTGGGTCTACCCCCCCCCCTTGTCCCAGACCCCCGACGTCATGATTTTTTCATGACGCGCCCCCCAGAGGTCCCGACCCTTCCCCCATGACCGGCTTTGCATCCTGAGTCGTTTTTTGACGCTCCCGAAGCCCGGTGAGGGCCCCCAGAGGCCGAAAATAGCGAAAAACCTCCCGTCGTGTTTTTTTCACGACGCGAGGAGGTCTGGGGTCGTTTTGCCCCCGGGCCTCCAGGTTCTGCAGCAGCGCGAGCTGCAGGCGCACGCAGTAGAGCTCCTGGCTCCCGCGGCGCGCTCGCGGCAGGGAGGGCCCACGAGCCGAACACGGATGCAGGTCGGAGCGGCGGTCGAAAGGGAGCGGATCGGCGGAGATCGGCAGCCAGGTGGGGAGGAGCCGAGTCGGCCGAGATCGGCGGGCTGCTGAAAAGCCGAGGTGCAGATCGGAATCCCGAGGTCGAATCGGATCGCAGTCAACGCCGATCGAAGCCGAATCGAATCGAGTCGGAAGAGTCGGAGCAAGCCCTGTGAAGGAGGGTGGCGCCAGCCAGGGAAGGGGGGGGGGGGGCCTCTTGAAGGCCCGGCGGGCTTCCGAGAAGAGGGCAGGGGCTTCTCAGAGGCCCTCCCGGCTTGCTGAGGAGCCCCCTTAGAAGCCTGCGGGCGCTTCCAGGAAGGCCCCCCAAAATCCTACGAACCCCCCCTGGCAGCTTAGAAGGCCACTCCCCTCGCGCCGACCCCCCCCCTGTCCGCGACAGCAGTCCTGGCAGAAGAACTTGGCGTCGTGGGCGAACCTCTGGTGGTGGAGGTCCTCGGGACGGCGGCGAACGACGACGCGCCCGGCACTCATCACGGAAGCTTCTCTCCGTTCTCGGCCTCCGGGGGCCCTCGCCGGCCCCTCGGCTGGGCCCCAGAGGCCGTCCAGGAAGGACCTCGGGACGAAACGCTGTCCTCCAGAACGAGGGGCCTCTCGGACGCTTCCCGGGTCTAGCGGCCCCAAGGGTGGCCGCCCCCGCCGCGGTCCTTGAGGCTCGCCTCGAACTGCTGCGTGAAGTCCTGCACCTCCTGGCGCAGCCGCTTGAGCTCCGCGTCCAGCTGCTTGCGGTACTTGTCCTCGGGAGGAGGAGCACCCCAGACCGCCAGCGCCCAACAAGGCAACAGTTAAGTCGGGCCTGTCCCCCTACAGGGGGGCTTTCGACGAAAAACCAAATGATCCCAGTGCGACCCGACCTAGGAGTTGGAGCATTTAGGAAAGCAATATCTACATCTACACCGACAGCTACATTTACATCTACACCTGCATCTATGCTATGCTATGCTATGCTGCGCTATGCTATGATATGCTATGATATGCTATGCTATGCTATGATACGCTGAGCTATGTTATGATATGCGTTGCTATGCTATGCTATGCTATGCTTGGCTATGCTTGGCTATGATATGCGATGCTATGGTGTGCTAATGCTGCGTTGCGCTAAGCTGAGGTAAGCTAAGATATGCTAAGCTATGCTAAGCTATGCTAAGCTAAACTAGGTTAGGCTAGGCTAGGCTAAGCTAAGCTAAGCTACGTTAAGCTAAGCTAAGTTAAGCTAAGGTATGCTAAGCTAAGCTATGCTATAATGGGGCACGCTAAGCTAAGCTAAGCTAAGGTGAGATAAGCTAAGCTTAGCTAAGCTCAGCTCAGCTAAGCTCAGCTAAGATAAGCTAAGCTAGGCTAAGCTAAGATGAGATAAGCTAAGCTAAGCTAAGTTAGGCTAGGCTACGCTCAGTTATGCTAAGGTATACTCAGTTTAGTTGAGCTAAGCTAAGCTAAGGTAAACAAAGTTAAGCTAAGCTAGGAAAACCCAGGGGGCGCAACTGGGGGAACCGCGGGGCGGGGACTGGGGGAACCGCCCGGGGCGTTTTACACTGCCTGGCCCCTTTAAGCAAACAAAGTAAGAACCCTCTAGGCAGAGCCTAGGTAGGGACTAAACCTGAGCTAAGATGAAGCTAAGCTAAGATGAAATAAGCCAGGCTAAGATGAGATAAGCAAAGCTAAGCTAAGGGAACGTCACTGGGGGAACCGCGGGGCGGATCCTGGGGGAACCGCCCGGGGCGTGTTGCACTGCCCGGCCCTTTAAGCACACACGGTAAGAACCCTTCTAGACAAAGCTGACTGTTCTTTGTTTTGCTTTTGCTTTTGCTTTGCTTTGCTTTGCGTTGCTTGTGCTTTGCTTTGCTGTCGCTGCTGTTGATTTGCCTTTGCTTTGCTGCTATGCTATGCTATGCTCTGGTATGCTATGCTATGCTATACTGCGCGGTGCTATGCTGTGCTGTGATGTGCTGCGCTATGCTATGCTATGATATGCTATGCTATGCTGCGATATGCTGTGCTATGCTGGGCTTTGCTATGATATGCTGTGCTGCGCTGTGCTGTGCACGCTCTGCTATGCTATGCTGTGCTCTGCTATGCTAAAGCTCGGCGAAGCTAAGATGAAGGTAAGCTAAGCTAAGATGAACCTGAGCTAAGATGAAGCTAAGCTAAGCTAAGATGAAATAAGCTAAGCTAAGATGAGATAAGCAACGCTAAGCTAAGGGAACGTCACTGGGGGAACCGCTGGTCGGACCCTGGGGGAACCGCCCGGGGCGTGCTGCACTGCCCGGCCCCTTAAGCCCACACGGTAAGAACCCTCTAGGCAGAGCCTAGGTAGGGAAAAAAACAAAAATACTCCATAACTAACCCAAAAATAATATGGGGACTATGTTTTGAATAGTGTTTGAACTTTTTAGGGTATTTTGGGGGTATCTTGTATTTTTCGTCGAAAACCCCCCTGTAGGGGGACACGCCCGACAGAAGGCAGCAGCACGGAGGTCGCCCGCGGTGCTCGCGGCCTCGGGGGGCCGCCTCTGGGTCCAGCGGCCGCCCGAGCACAGTCGGGGGAGGGCAAAAAAGGACCGTCCCGGGGAGAGGGTCTCTCGGGCAGCCCGCGTGGATGAGGGGGCCTGGGGACACACAAAGAAATAGACACATCCCAGGGTTCCCCATATTTTCCCATAGTTTCTGGGGTGTCGTCTTCCCCCCCCCCCCCACACTTCCCATTTTTTCCCATATTCTCCTGGGAATCGGCGATGACTTGTGTCTCTGTGTGTGTGTGTGTTTTGTTTTGGTTTTGGTTCCCTCCTGAGTTGATTCACCAAAAAACGCGGAGGACTGGAACGCTGCACGCCCTCATGCGCACCTGGAGGGGGTCGCCCCCTCCCCACCCGACGGCCCCGAACAGGCCCCCGTTTTCCCCCCTCCCCATGTCGTCTTCCCCCCCCCCACACTCCTCCTCCCTCCTCCTCCTCCTCCTCCTCCTCCTCCTCCTCCTCCTCCTCCTCCTCCTCCCTCCTCCTCTCCGTGTCTTCCTCCTCCTCCTCCATGTCTTCCTCCTCCTCCTCCATGTCCTCCTCCTCCTCCTCCTCCTCCTCCCCCTCCTCCTCCTCCTCCTCCTCCATGCCTTTTGCAGAGGGGACACGCCCGACAGAACACCACGTCGGAGGTGTCTGGGACCCCCCGGGGGCTCGCGGCGGCCGCTCGTGGCCCGCCCCGCGGCGACGGGCGGGGCACGCGCGCCCAGAGGCAGGCCTCCGACGCGCGAGCCTCGAGGACCGAGGAGGATCGAGGATCGAGGATCGAGGATCGAGGAGGAGGAGGAGGAGGAGGAGGAGGAGGAGGATAGAGGAGGAGAGGAGGATAGAGGAGGAGAAGGATAGAGGAGGAGGAGGAGAAGGAGGAGAAGGATGGAGGAGGAGAAGGATAAAGGAGGATCGAGGACCGAGGAGGAGGAGGAGGAGGAGGAGGAGGAGGATCGAGGAGGAGGAGGATCGAGGAGGAGGAGGAGGATCGAGGATCGAGGAGGAGGAGGAGGAGGAGGAGGAGGAGGAGGAGGAGGAGAGAAGCAGCCAGAGAGCAGGACGCGAGAGGAGCGACACACCAGCGGCAGGCGGGGGGGCAGCAGAGGGCAGGCGGTGTGGCGCCAGGCAGCGAGGGCCGTGCCCAGCCGCCACGAGTCCGCCGACGACCCGCAGCCGCAGGCAAGAGAAGAGGGAGGACGAGGAGGAAGAGGGTGAGGAATCCCAAGGGGCCCAGGGACACCCGCACAAAAGAGACACAGATCTCCGGATCCCCTCTCGTCTCCCCGTCCGCTCTGGGGTGCTTCGGCTTCCCCCCCCCCTGCCCCCGCTTCCCAGGCAGTTTCCCGGATCTTCCAGAGAATCGACGATGAGCTGTGTCTGTGTGGTCTGGGCCCCCTCCCGAGAACCGCGGGCCGCGAGCCGCGAGACGCGTCGCGCCCCCGTGGCGGCCCTCGAGGCCGGGCTCCGTGCGCCTCCTGCGCGGCTCTCTCGCGCCGACCCCCCCGCCCCCCGGCCACCGCGCCAGCGCGTCCTGCTCCTCCGCGAGGGCCTTCTCCTTCTCGCGGAACTCCCGCAGCGCGGCGACCTGGAGCTCGGTCATGTCCTCCTCGGGGACCTGGTCCATCCAGGGCTCCTGCCGCCGACGGAGAGGAGCGAGAGAAGCGCTGCACGGGCCTCGGCCTATGGAGGTCCGCGCGCGAGTTTTTTGGCATCGGCGCCGGGCCCCGCTCCGTGCCACCGGGCGGCGCCTCCGGCGCCGCCGGCGGGGTCCATCGCCGACCAAAGACATCCGAGCGGGCCTCCGAAAGTGCATGCTTTAGGCGGATGCGGATGTGTTGCTCTTGTTCCTAGCATTGTCACTCGCATGCACGCTTTGACTATGAACGTTAATCGCTGTTTGCTCCTTGTCGAGCGTGATCTCCAGCGCAGACAGGTCCTTCTTCGTCTTCAGCGTGCCGCCCATCATCTGCGCCAGCGCGCGCTGCCCCGCGTCGTTCTCCCTCAGCTGTCGCTGGCGCTCCTCCTCCTTCGCGGCGGCCTCGGCGAGCCGCTGGCGCTCCTCCTCGGAGATCCACTTCGCGACGGAGATCTCCCCGTCCTTGACGTGGAGCACCGAGTCGGCGTCCTCGCAGTCCTGCAGCCGAGGCTCCTCCACCAGCTCGTCGACCTGCAGCTCACTGAGGATGGCCCTGATGCGCGCGGTCTTCTCCTTGATCTGGTCCATTGTCGCCCTCTTGTCGCCCTGGGCCGCCTCGAAGAGCTTGTTAAAGGCCAGCCGGAAGTCGCACGCGAGCGCCTGCAGCAGGAAGACCTGCAGCCGCCTGCGGGAGTTCGTCAGCAGCTCGAACGGCTCGTACAGGAGCTTCGCGTTCTCCTGGTTCCCGTCGCCCTCCGTCTTGGAGGGCCACCAGTTGACGATGTACTGCTCCTGGCGCGACGAGAAGGAGTCGGCCACGAGCAGCGCATCCCCCTGCAGCCCCCTGGGGCAGTGGTTGCCCCGCAGCGTCTGCGACTCCAGCTGCTCCACCCTCCGCATGACCTTGAGCTTCTGGATGATGCCCTGCTCCTCCTGGGTCTCCTTCCTGACGGGGTAGTTGGACACGGACAGGGTGGACTCGGGCATCAGGCTGCAGATCTTGCAGCCCTTGACGGCCATGGGGTCCCAGAACTCCTTGCGGCGGCGCGCCCAAGGCGGGGGGGGGGGGGGAAGAGCGGGCGGGCCTTCCTTCTCGGAATGCTCAGGGAGG